GTATAACAGTCATCTGCTGCCAGTCTTCTGCCTCTGCGTTTCTGTGACTCATTTCCCCCTGTGTGGCACGAGACTGCCGCTGTCTGGCGTGCTGCCCGCGATTGGCTCCGGTTCCGGCGTCTGCCCCGCCGGGACTCGACTGTGTTCGCCCAAGGTTCCTTTGCTCCATCCCGTCCATTTTCCTCTTCTCCTCGCTGCAATCTTCAATCGTGCTTCTGTTGTCTTGTTACTCTCCCGTCGTCGCTCTTTTGGTTTCGTTCTCTTCGCGAGTGCGGCACTGCTGATTCTTCCCTCCCGCCCAGAGCGCGCCCGCTCGACCCTCTAGCCCACCATGGCGAGCAACGGCTACCTCCGCGAGGAGGCCATTGATGACTCAGAGCTGGTCGACGACGGCCTCCATGCGGACTCTGTCCACCACCGGCTGCGGGCCAATTCGACTGTCATTCAATTCCAGAAGATCCTCGTCGCCAACCGCGGTGAGATCCCCATCCGTATCTTCCGTACCGCCCACGAACTCTCCCTCCAGACGGTCGCCGTCTACTCGTGGGAAGACCGTCTCTCCATGCACCGTCAGAAGGCGGATGAGGCCTATGTCATCGGCAAGCGCGGCCAATATACCCCCGTGGGCGCCTATCTGGCCGGTGACGAGATCATCAAGATCGCCCTCGAGCACGGGGTGCAGCTGATCCACCCCGGTTACGGTTTTCTGTCCGAGAACGCCGAGTTCGCCCGCAAGGTCGAGAAGGCCGGCTTGGTCTTTGTTGGTCCGACTCCAGAGACCATTGAGAGCCTAGGTGATAAGGTTTCTGCCCGCCAGTTGGCTATCCGTTGTAATGTGCCTGTCGTCCCTGGCACTGAGGGCCCTGTCGAGAAATTCGAGGATGTCAAGGCCTTCACGGATACCTACGGGTTCCCTATCATCATCAAGGCTGCCTTCGGTGGCGGTGGCCGTGGTATGCGAGTCGTTCGGGACCAGGAATCGCTCAAGGATGCCTTCGAACGTGCAGCTTCGGAGGCACGCGCCGCCTTTGGCAACGGCACCGTCTTTGTCGAGCGCTTCCTGGACAAACCCAAGCATATCGAGGTCCAGCTGCTGGGTGACAACCACGGCAATGTTGTCCACCTGTATGAGCGTGATTGCTCCGTCCAGCGCCGCCACCAGAAGGTCGTCGAACTGGCCCCGGCCAAGGACCTGCCTGTGGACGTCCGCGACAAGATCCTGGCGGACGCCGTCAAGCTCGCCAAGGCGGTGCGCTATCGCAACGCGGGAACGGCCGAGTTCTTGGTCGACCAGCAGAATCGCTACTATTTCATCGAGATCAACCCCCGGATCCAGGTCGAGCACACTATCACGGAGGAGATCACCGGCATTGATATTGTCGCCGCGCAGATCCAGATTGCGGCCGGTGCCACCCTGGAGCAGTTGGGCTTGACGCAGGACCGCATCTCGACCCGCGGTTTCGCCATCCAATGCCGTATCACCACCGAGGACCCGGCCAAGAACTTCCAACCGGACACCGGCAAGATCGAAGTCTACCGCTCTGCCGGTGGTAACGGTGTGCGTCTGGACGGTGGTAATGGCTTTGCGGGCGCTATCATCACACCGCACTATGACTCCATGCTGGTGAAGTGTACCTGCCATGGTTCGACCTACGAGATTGCCCGTCGCAAGATGCTGCGCGCTCTCGTGGAGTTCCGTATCCGTGGCGTCAAGACCAACATTCCTTTCCTGACATCTCTCTTGTCCCACCCCACCTTCATCGAGGGCAATTGCTGGACGACCTTTATCGACGACACCCCGGAGCTGTTCTCGCTCATTGGAGGTCAGAACCGTGCCCAGAAGCTGTTGGCATACCTGGGTGATGTCGCCGTCAACGGCAGCAGTATCAAGGGCCAGATCGGCGAGCCGAAGCTCAAGGGTGAAATTGTCCAGCCAAAGTTACTCGACGAGTCCGGGAAGCCCATCGATGTGTCTAAGCCTCCCACCCACGGCTGGAAGAAGATCATCGATGAGCAAGGTCCCGAAGCCTTTGCCCGCGCGGTGCGCGCCAACAAGGGCTGCCTCATCATGGACACTACCTGGCGAGACGCCCACCAGTCGTTGTTGGCGACCCGTGTGCGAACGATTGACCTGCTGAACATCGCCCGCGAGACCAGCCACGCCTACAGCAATGCCTACAGTTTGGAATGCTGGGGTGGTGCCACCTTTGACGTCGCCATGCGCTTCCTCTACGAAGACCCCTGGGACCGTTTGCGCAAGCTGCGCAAGGCCGTTCCGAACATCCCATTCCAGATGCTCCTGCGTGGAGCTAATGGTGTCGCCTATTCCTCGTCAGTGCTCCCAGCTCCCCCTCCCTCTTTTCGTTAATCTGAATTTGAAGGTCTCGCTAACGTCACATAACACAGACTACCCGACAATGCCATCTACCACTTCTGTAAGCAGGCGAAGAAGAATGGAGTCGACATCTTCCGTGTCTTTGATGCTCTGAACGATGTCGACCAGCTGGAGGTCGGTATCAAGGCTGTCCAGGCGGCCGGTGGTGTGGTCGAGGCCACCATCTGCTACAGCGGAGACATGCTCAACCCCAAGAAGAAGTACAACCTCGAGTATTATCTCAACTTGGTCGACAAGGTCGTCCAGCTGGGTACCCACATCCTGGGTATCAAAGACATGGCGGGTGTGCTGAAGCCCAAGGCGGCGACGTTGCTGGTGGGCTCCATCCGCAAGAAGTACCCTGACCTTCCGATCCACGTCCACACCCACGACTCCGCGGGTACCGGTGTCGCGTCCATGGTCGCCGCTGCCCAGGCTGGTGCGGACGCCGTCGACACGGCCACTGACAGCATGTCCGGCATGACCTCGCAGCCTAGCATTGGCGCCCTCCTCGCCTCGCTCGAGGGCACCGAGTTGGATCCCAAGCTGAACGTGCAACACATCCGGGCTATCGACAGCTACTGGGCTCAGCTGCGTCTTCTGTACTCGCCGTTCGAGGCCGGCTTGACCGGTCCGGACCCGGAGGTCTACGAACACGAGATCCCCGGAGGTCAGCTCACCAACCTCATCTTCCAGGCCAGCCAGCTGGGTCTGGGCGAACAGTGGGCGGAGACGAAGAAGGCGTACGAGGCGGCCAACGACCTGCTCGGCGACATTGTCAAGGTCACACCCACGTCCAAGGTGGTCGGAGACTTGGCCCAGTTTATGGTGTCCAACAAGCTCAGTGCCGAGGATGTGGTGGCGCGGGCGGACCAGCTCGACTTCCCGGCTTCCGTGCTCGAGTTTTTCGAAGGGCTGATGGGCCAGCCCTATGGCGGTTTCCCTGAGCCCCTGCGGTCCAAGGCGCTGCGCAATCGCCGGAAGCTCGACAAGCGACCGGGTCTTTTCCTCGAACCGCTCGATCTGGCCAAGATCAAGAACGATCTCAAGGAGAAGTTTGGCAGTGCGACGGAAACCGATGTGGCCAGCTATGCGATGTACCCGAAGGTCTACGAGGACTACCGCAAATTCGTGCAGAAGTACGGTGATCTGTCGGTGCTGCCCACGCGGTACTTCCTGGCCCGGCCCGAGATTGGCGAAGAGTTCCACGTGGAGATCGAGAAGGGTAAGGTGCTGATCTTGAAGTTGCTGGCCATTGGCCCGCTGTCCGAGCAGACAGGCCAGCGGGAGGTCTTCTACGAGGTGAACGGCGAGGTGCGCCAGGTGACGGTGGATGACAGGAAGGCGGCTGTCGATAATACAGCCCGCACGAAGGCGGATCCGACCGACAGCAGCCAGGTTGGAGCACCGATGAGCGGTGTGGTGGTGGAAATCCGGGTGCACGACGGTCACGAGGTCAAGAAGGGAGATCCTATTGCGGTTCTGAGCGCCATGAAGATGGTGAGTTTCGTCGTCGTCGTCGTCGTCGTCGTCGTCGTCGTTCTTTTTTTTTTCGCCTTGCATTGCAGACTGACTGTTGTAGGAAATGGTTATTTCTGCCCCTCACAGTGGCAAGGTGGCTGCCCTCCAGGTCAAGGAAGGCGACTCGGTCGACGGGCAGGATCTTATCTGCAAGATTGTCAAGTCCTGATTGACGTGACGTGACGTTTTCAAGGTGCGATCCCTTGTCTTGCTAGGGCGTTATCCATGCGAGGACGCCGAGGATATAACCGCGTAGAAATATCTTCTGATGTTGTCTTCTGCTGAAGCTTTTGTCATTCTACCTGTTTGGTGGATGTGTGTTCTCTACCTGATCCAAATGAGCGACGATATGCCATGTTCTTCTCTATAGATGATGAATTGAGTTGATTGCTTTGACTTGCGTTCAGAAAATCGGATATAGGATACTGGATACTTTACTGTCTAAGTTGGAAGTATAGAGATATGATTTTATTTTCTACTGTAGTTTCAACCTCCAGGATAGTTCTAGTCCAGGTGGTCTATGAGGTTGAATGTCAACACTACTCCGTATATGGAGTAATAATTATCGGTAGGGTATGGCGGCAAACTCGGCGACATTTCAACCGAAGCCAGAAATTTCGTGATCAATGTAAGGTATTATTAGCCGCGCTAGCTAGGTACATACATAATACATACATAGGTAGGTACGTACCTAGGGATAATTAGTTCAGAATCAGAAATAATTAAATACGGAGTACGATTCATTCAAATCCCGACCCCACGCCGAAGTTCGAACAGGAAGACAGGAAAGGAAAAAAACCCGAGCCCCCGAGCCCGCACGGCCCGAAGAATCTCCGAACAACAAAAAAAAGCACGAAAAAGAAAAGACACAAAAAAAAGAAAGTATGGGCCAGGGGCCTGCGGCCTGCCGGAATAATCATCTTGCGTCGAGATCTGCTAGGCCGAGCTAATAATCATAATAATACTGCAACTGCATGCACGAGGGTGAAAAGGGTAATAACTGTACAGTATGTACAGTCTGTACCTAGTAGTAACTGTATGTGCATACTTTGGAAAAGTACTCTGTACGGAGTACTAGGGTAGTATATACTAAGAATAAAAGAAATTCGATTCGTGCATTGTGCTTCGCTGGATGGGTTTTTTTTGCTTCTTGTAGGATTGATGATTGATTGATTGATTGAGTGTGTTCTTTTTCAGGCTTTCTGTTAGTTCGATTGTAAGTATCTACCTAAGTACCTAAGTACCTAATGTATTCTAATCTACCATTGCAGCTCTGTACTGGATAGACAGATATTATCTACCTACGCAAGACGTGCATTTGATCGTCTACTCCTCCTTCCTCTTTTAGGGATTACAGGAACTTGGACTGGAGCTAGGATCTCAGATCTCGTTTCTCGTTTGGGATGGTTGCATGGACGCTTTTGGTTGATTGTGATCTATCTTTCTTGGTTGTTCGTTGCTTGATTAACGTAATCCACAACCGAGCGGATCGCCCAACCGAGCGGATCGCACCTCTCAACGCGTCTTGTATATAGAAATTTAAAGCTCAATTATCTACCTAAAACAGCAATTATATACAAAAAAATTAATTACTATTGTGATTAGGACATTGATTCCTCCTGTGGCCCAGAGTATTACAATCGCTACACCTATATTGTGGGCGTACGCGCGGTGGAGAGGCCGGTAATTGAGACTGTGGAGGATCATTTACTGGAGGTTCAATAACTTGATCTCTTGACCTTATGAGATCCTGCGCTTCTTCTCTAGTAATTCCTCCTTCATGACGTATCTTCTTCTTGGATCTTTGACGCTTTTGCTTCTCCTTCTCATGTGCAGCAAGTAAATCCTGATATTCCTTCTTCATTATCGCTGCTTGAATCATGGTGGATTCACATGCCTTTGTAATTTGATTAAATGCTTCATTAAACCAACTTAAAGGACTTGTATGACCTTGCTCTATAAGTTTCTTGACTGCAGTTGCTTGCCGCTGTAGTTGACAAGGATTATGAGGCGTCTGTAAGCCCCAGGATGACTGTGAGTTACTGGATCGACTTCCTGGTGGTGTAGGCGTCTTAAGTTGAATATGGAGCTTTTGAATAACTCGGTCTGGATTAAATGGATGAATCCCAGTGGCTATAAAGCCATTTTGAACAGTATGAGCCTTAAAGGCTTCTGCGCATGCTGCAGGATATGCCTCTAAGAAGTCAAGCTTTGCAATGTGATTGAAGCCGTGCTGCATCTGCTGCTGAACAAGGTTGCCATATCCATACTTTAGAGGTGCAAAAACGCTCACATCAAGAGGTTGTAGAAGATGTGATGAGTGTGCAGGCATACAAATCGGGATAATATTGTTTTGGGCGCAGAGTTCGTCAAATTGAGGTGTAAGATGGCTTCCATGGCCGTCAAGAACTAGTAGTCGATATGCACCTTTCCTGCGCTTCTCTGTCTCAGGAATGAATTGATTTTTGAGCCATCTTAGGCTAATTTCATCAGTTGTCCATCAGTTGTCGCTTTTATCAAGCCGCCAGCCTTCTGGAAGTTCATCAAACCAGGCGTCTTGAAGTTCTTTTGCTTTGAAGATGATATAGGTAGGAAGGCTCCATCCTGTTGCACAAACTGACTCAATTGCTGTAACCCATTCGCGATTACCAGGTTGTAGAAGCTTTGGACGGCCATAAACATCACTCCTTGTAATAACTTTTGAAGTTGCACAGAGGCCCATGGCAAAACCAGCCTCATCAAAGTTGTATATATCATCCGGCTGAATCCCATACTCCAGAATCTTCTCGTGAAAGCAGTCAAACCACTCGCGGATTATCTTGCTATCTTCACATTTGGCACGCTCATAGTTATATCAACGCGAGTATCGTGTTTTGAGCTCATCGCGGCGTTTTACTGGGTTAGAAACCCAGTTCTTGCCAACTTGTGGAGGAGGACCTTGAGACCCACGTTGAGATAGAAGATGATTAGCCATATTTTCAACAAAAGCAGGTCGAGGAGGTAATCCACGCTTATCTAGGTCCAGAATCCACTTGACAAGCGTTTCCTCTTCATTTGCAGTCAATTTATGTGAATTTGCGCGTAAATTGACTCTTGCAGGGCGTCCCTTAAGTCGAGACTGTAGGGTAGTATATGGCACACCAAAAAGACGCGCAGTTTCTTTAATTGAAGGAATTTGCTTCTTTTTGTAAGCAGAAATTGCAGCTTCGATCTTGCCCTCTAATTCGAGGGCTTTTTTTGCCTTTGCAGTGCGAATTGGTGGCATAATTGCGCGTTGAATAACTTCAATTTCTATATGAGTCGCGTTGACAGGTGGCGATCCGCTCGGTTGTGGATTACGTTAATATTGCCAGAGATAAGGTTTTTGGCGCATGGAGATGGAAGCTGTTTTTCGTTCGAAAAAAAAAAGATCGTAGGAAACCATGTTAATCTTCACCTGATATGATAACTACTGTACATATTATATCATCTTTTTTGATAGAGTGGGGCCCACGAGGAAGTCATCGCATCGCATCATCCTCGAGATCTTCGTCGAGAGTATGGCTATGCATGACCAACGACTAACGGTCTAACCCTATCTACAGTACTAACCCTGGCAAACGCTTCCCCGATGCACGAGCCGTTCCTCGATTCCAGACCAACCCGGTTCTTTTCTTCTCTCTTTCTTTTTCCCCTTTTCGTTATCCTTTTGGACTTTTCCCATTCAGGACTCTGACTGCTTGGAATGGACGCATTGATTGGATTGCGATGCCGCCCCCGTGCGCATAACTTAGGAAATCAATCCTTGACCAGGGGTCTACCGTCTGGCAGGTCGGGCTGATTAGGATTCAATATTGGGATTGTTGATAGGTACTGTACACGTATGTACATACAGCAACGACTCTTTCTCTCCGCAAGACTCCAGACTCGCGAGGACGGCCCCACGTACCGTGCTCCGTGACTGCACTCACGGATGGCGATATCAAATTCTCCGCCGTGGGGCGATCATCGCCTTACGAGGCCGGAGTCGGCACTCGGGACTTGAACGGGCCAACGCAACCAACGCAACGCAACGCAACGGTCTTTGTGTGTCAATCGCCGATGGCCAACGGAACTAATACGGCCGAGTTTTTAGTTTAAACGGGCAGGCGACATAACTTAATGGGCAAGACGCGAAGTCGACGATGATTGACTGACCCGACTTAGGTGGCCCTGGCTCTCTCTCTCCTTACTAAATCGGGGTCCCTGTCTTGTCTCTTTTTGATCCTGCCCTGCAAACTATTAACCGCGTCCCCCGCTCGGGTCGTTGTGATGGCTGGCTGATCGGAGCAGGCTATTCATCCCGTCACGCAGCCATTTGTTGGCCCTTTCTTGGCCATGTCCTGTGCCTATATCGAGACTGTCCGCAGGGTTGTCATCTTTCCTCCCCGAGAGAAGAAAACAACCTACTGCTAGCAGCTACTTGTGGCTGCACTGGGCATGCCCTTGTCCTGGCCAGCTGCATGGATAGTTAAAACTCAGTCTGCCGCCGCCGAGTTCGGACAGCAGCAGTTGCAATAACCGTCACCATCACGATAATGATATGATATGGCGGGTGCTCCTGTTGACTGGACCCAGCAGCAGCTTCCTCCTTTCTTCCACTCTCATTGCCATCTCGTTTGATTTTGTTTCCTAGACTGGATGTGGAGATTTGGTTTTAGTGTCATGGAACAATCGCATCCCAATCATCCCGATCATCCACAGCAGAGACGTGAGGTTGCGAATCCTACTGCCTCGTCTCAGCCCGGGCAGCGCGCTTGCGACTGCTGTCGAGACAAAGAATCTCAGGTACTGATTTCTTCTCCTCTTCTTCCATTTTGTCCTCGCCGCTAACGTATGTGGTGCGCCGTCAGTGTGACAGGACCCAATGCGTCGACTGCCGTTGTGGATGCATGTCTGACCAGATTGGCGAGCTGATCCAGGAAGATTGGAAGGCCAAGATCGAGACGCTGGAGAGTGAGATCCACCGATACGAGGATATCATCGATAGGCTGGAGCTTGGGTCCGACTCGGACGTCATCCGACTGCTTCAGCAGCTACATGGGAGCAAGCATAATCATAATCATAATGCGAGCAATGGGACCTCTGTAGGGGATTCTCGGCATGAGCGGGACGATAAAGGCTCCTAGCAGTTATCGACTGGCTGGACGTGGGAATATTCGTCTCGGAAGGAATTTCTCTTCCTTTCCTTTTTCAGGAACACATTGATTGGAGGATGTTCTGCGATTCTACTGCAGCAGTTGAGATCTATAGATGCGCGTTGATATGACGGATGGGCAACTGTTTATGCAGGGTCTTCGATTGCCAGATATCATTCTCTCTGTGCAAGGTTTACCCTGCTCCACGTTTTGTCGCCTGTTTATTCCAGATCTTTCCCCATGATCTGGAGATTCTCTGCTCAGACCAGACGTCATTTCGATGAGGTTATTGTTTCTGTGCCAATTCCAGGCTTGTTATACTTAGTCTCTAATAAGTTGGTGATCATGATTCAGAGCGATGATGGATGGTTTATTGAATTTGCAGACTCTATTCGCTTTGAGGCGAGGAAGGCTGCTTTGAGGCTACTTCCTATTTCTGTTCTTTGTTTACTCTCCTCTCCTTTCTTCGTTATTTTCTTTTTTTGTCTCTTCAATTGCATGAATTACTGCATGTATCATAGAGGCAAGTTGATCAGTCTAGGTTGTTGAATCTTGTGGTCTACCATCAATCATGTCAGGAGGAATATATCCAGCAAGACAAGCAGAAATCAGTCGAACCGTGACTGAGTGCGTATTCCAGAAGAAAAAGAGCTGCTGATTCAGGACTGATGAGTAGGCCTTGTGTTAGGGTCGATTTGCTGAGGTCACATGATGAGCTCCGCTGATTGATTGTTATTCGTTCGCTGACCTTAACCTTGCAATACAATACATCAACAATTCCAATAAAACGACTCTCCAGAATGGATTTCAATGGTCGATGATTAACGATAATGGAAAATCACTATTCATTACCCCTGTTGATCCTCCTGGTCCAACTGAGCGGAATACTCTGCCTGTTTTGTCTCCGCGTTTTGCTCCGTCCGAAGAAGCAGCAGCCTACTGCTATTGATACTGGCGTCGATATCGATAATAAACCTGCCTCTGGTTGGCATCAGGGCGTTAACGATCCCCATCAAAGTCTAGATCTATATCCAAGGACAAGCTCCACCGGCAAAAATAACAATATGGACACCATCAGAGAGCCCTACATCCTCGACCTCGCCCATCGGGGGTACATCCAAGGCGTGACCATCCTCAAGCGGAAGAAAGACACACTGGAAAAATCACCCGCAGAAGCAACTATCCCCCTCTGTCGCTATTTTGGCGGTCTGCGCTATGCGCTGCCGCCCACGAGGCGATGGGGACAGGCCCGCCCCCTCCCCCGCGGTTATTCGTACGGCTCAAGGAGTAACCCCGGCCGACATGATGGCCAGGCGGCTGTGTGTCCGCAGCCGGGCGCCTCGTGGGATGATCCTGGCTTGGATGAGGACTGTTTTCAGTGTAATGTCTGGGTGCCTGTGGGGAGGTGTCCGGATGGAGGTGAGTACTGAATATACAGTATGTATAAGTTACGTGCTATTTCCTGATGCTAATGACGGTTTCTAGGATGGCCCGTTTTCTTCTTTATTCGTATGTCCCATTTCTTTATTATTTTTATTTCTTTTTTTTAGGCTTTTGTTAATTTCTGTTTGAAGACGGCGGCTTCCTCCAGGTTGGCACTCCCAACTCGTCCAACAATGCCGCCCTACTAGGGGAAACAGACTTCAAGTGCGTGATTGTCGCCCCTGCCTATCGAGTAAGCGTGTTGGGGTTCTTGAGCTCAGAGGAACTCCGGCACGAAGCGGCGTTACATGGTGAGAGCGCCGGCAACCAAGCGTTCTGGGACCAGCGCCTGGCCCTGGAATGGACGCGCGATAATATCCATCTGTTCGGGGGAAATCCGTCAAATATTACTGTTGCGGGATACTCTGCAGGTCTGTCCTCTGTGCCCTTATGATTGTATATGTCTGCAGATACAGGGCTGACGCTTATAGGTGCTTATTCGGTCTTCCATCAACTGGCTCACGATCTGTTCTTGCCCGACGAGAAAAGCATCATCCGACAAGCCATCATGTGGTCCAATGGCCCCGGCGTACAGCCCAAGTCGGCAGCGAATGCGCAGGACCAATTTGATGAGCTTCTCTCTGCCCTTGATATCCCTTTGACTCTCTCCTCGGCCGAAAAGCTCTCGCGTCTGCGATCTCTCCCCGCCAGAACGCTGATCGAAGCCAGCGTGCGCATCAAGCACCATCAATTCCGGCCCTGGAGCGACTCTGCGTTCATCTCGACCAATCTCTTTCGCGATATCGACAGCGGCTTGTTTGCGCGTCGGCTGGCCGCGCGTCACATCCGCCTTATGAACGGGGAGTGCCGTGACGAGCATTTTCTGTATGGAACCTGGTTTCCCCCCAAGGAGGACTCCGTTTCGGCTCTACGCGAGCGCATCGAGGCCGACTACCCGCCCGAAGCCTGCGATGCGCTGGTCCAGCTGTACTACCCATCAGGCCAGCTCCCAGCGGATAGTCGGGACTGGCGGGACGCGTTTGGGCGGTTGTATGCCGACATGCAGGTGCACATGCTGGAGCGGGGGTTCATCAACGCCCTGGCCCGCGGGGGAGCAGGCCATCTGGTGTACCGGTACCGAATCGAGTACCGGGTCAAGTGCGTCGATGACTACTTACCGCCGGCATGGGGCGTCACCCACTCGAGCGACAAGGCCATGTGGTTCTGGGGGGACGGGGCTGTTCTGGAGGACGAAGAGAAGCCGATCGTGCGGTCTGCGCTGATCGATCCTCTGGTCAGATTTGTCCGGGGGGAGTCGGAAATGGGATGGAATACGCAGGGAGTCAGGCAGGTGCGCCGGTTGCGACCGGATGGGACGGTCGATGTCTGGGAAGATATCATGTGGGAACGGGGACAGAGGGTGTGGAGTGCGCTGCAGGAAGTTGGATCAACGAGACGGTCGGCCAAGCTGTGAGCGCAAGGCTGCAAGCTATGACCGTAAGCTATGATGTAGGCCCAGCTGGCCCACATGGTGGTAGCAGCGGATATAAAGTGTAAGTAGCATGAATATGTATATACTAGACTATATACTGTACAGACATAGCATCTAAGCAGACATCAACGGATAATATTTACCCTGAGAACGAGAACGAAATTTCCCTATCAGAAGAATAAAAAAAAGTAAACGATGTACCTGATTTGTCATAAATAATACTCTGCAGTATTGGTAGACTGTGGTAGACCTTGAATAATATTAATAATAAAATAAAAAGCTACATAAAGTTTTGAACCTAAACTAGGTGGTTCCACTAGACTATGTATTTTTATACGAGGTATCCCCCCTGACGCGATTAATTAATTAATAAGATAACAAGAAATATATATTTTCAATTATGTAAACAGCTGCAAACGGCCTTGAGGAAAGAAACGAAGGAATAATGATAACTTACATCATCGACTGTCCGAGTGAATTCCATCTATTGGAAGCTTGGAACCGCTCCCGACGACCGACCAATGACATGCGGCCCAGCGTACCCGCCCACGACGCCATGTTTCCCCGCAAAACAAATGATCCGACCCCACCTGGCCCAACCCGAGCTAAGCTGCTACCAGCTAATACCTTAGCTATGGAGTATGGATTATGGACATGTTTGTATCACTTCGTGGTGACGTCCCTGGTCCATGGGATGGCCTTTGTCGTTGGAACACTTCCAATTCGCTGATGATCGTCAGTGGCTGTCGATTCCATTCGTTTCGACTCGCACTTCATTCCTGGTCTTTGACTCGCTGTGGACCTGCTGTAGTAGTCACCTGTTACCCAGCTTGTGCTAGGGAAGAGAAGGCAAATGTCAGTTGTCGACGACGTGAGTGGCTCCCTCTGGGCCTCCCTCCCCCTCGTCGCGCCACTAAAGCTTGCTTCTGCGCGATGAGTAAGGACCATGGGCAGCAGCTTGGTCCTCCAGTAATAAGGAGATAGACAAAATTGACTCGGAACGATTGATGGATCCGGCTTGCTACAGTTGCCCAACTGGGGTATCTATCTATCTCCTTGATTGATGACTGGAGCAGTCAGTCATGGATAAGCAGAAAGCTTCTGCTAGCTAGCAGGGGGAGAGAGTTGGTCTGAGCTCAGCACTCACCTCAACCTCATGCGCTGGCTAGCTGGACTGGGATAGGCTTATTGGCGTTTTGGCTCTGTCTTCCCCTCTTCTCGAAACCAACTAGCTCGAATTCTGTCAGGAGGCCAGGGCCTATAACCTATAGCATATAAATCTCCTCTCCTCGCTTCTGCTCGTGTGACAGTCGCTCTGATCTGATCGATCAGCGGTACGGGTGTACGGACGGCTTCAACTACGATCTGCCAAGGTAGGCACTTATTCTCCTTGTACTACCTCCCTCTCCTATATCAAGGCCGCTATGTTTGTCCTCTTCTTGCATGCTAACGACATTCCTGACAGTCACTACCTGAACAGCCGACGGAGACAGACCTCAAAGGAAACAAAACAAACAGACCTCACAAACAAACCTCACTGTCTAAATTTCACACAGGATACCCACCATGGCCGACTCACCAAGACGACACTGGAACGGCTCCGTCGGCGACCGCCACGAGCATCAGAACGTCTGGCTGCGAGGAGGTGTTCGAGGCCCGGCCGTGTCGTCTCCGTGGGCTGGATGGGATGCTTATCGACGACGGGTGAGTAGGCAACAAAAAACACAATTCCCATTTAATTCAATGATATGTGTGTTAACGATCCTCCAGGACTCCGAAACATCCATCAACAGCGTCAGCAGCAGTAGACGCTCCTCCTCCTCCCCGTCAGGTACCCCCCTCTTCACCACCCTGACGCACCAGAAACGCAGCTCTACCGATCCGGACCTCACTGCTCGGCGCAAGAGTTACAGTGAGCAGAGCCCTGTGCGGCCGGGAGTTTTGGCTAGTTGGTGGCATGGGTATACGAGGGGGTATTAATTAAAAAATAAAAAAAAGGAAAAGGAAAGGGCAAGGGAAATTGGTTATGTTGTTCATTGGGTATTTGTTTTGATGCTGCAATTTCAATGTACACGACACGATGCGACAAGACACGACAAGTGCATGGCTGTATCCATGCTAAATTTTGATCCCAATTCATGTACTACCAGTACATGAATGAAGTTGGTGATCAAATGAATTATGTACTTGGTAAATATACGAAGTATATCAATGAATTAGGTAGATAGGAACATACTGTGTATTAGTTATCTACCGAAAAAAGAAATCAACTTAGGTATTTAAATATCGAGTTGAACTACTTAGTCACTAGCACGGGTTTCTTCTAGAACCCAGATTAGATCAGATCAGACTAGATCAGAGTAGTAGACCACCCGTGCTTATATTTTTTTTTTAGGTATTAGCCAGTTGTTGTCGGTTTTATGCACCCTTTCTGAATTCCATGGGTTCGATTTTCGATGCATTTAGCTGATATCGCCAGCACACATACATCTAGAGAAATTCATGCCGGTAGCATAGCATAGGTAGCGATCCCCCGGAGAAAAAAAAAGCGGATATGGTATAATCCACCTTTTGTTTTTTTGTATTTTTGATTTCATTCCCTGCTTTAATTTAAAAAAGCGGTTCGTAAACACCCTATTGTGTGATTCACCCCATTTCTACATAGACATGGCCGGACACCATTTATCGGACAATTCCCTCGAAGCGGTTCTTGAACCATTTGATCGTCTCTTCCCGGGTGATGCGGTGGCTGGCACCAATGCGGGACTTCGCACGCCTGCGCTTGGCAACACGTCCACCAGGACGGGTCCTAAAGAAAAATCCCAGTCAATCTTTTGCCCTTCGATCCTGAGTGTTTCTTTTTCTTTTCCCCCCACTTACATGCAGCAGTAGAAGTCCATTCCGTAGATACCAATACCAGGGTCGTACTTGATGCCCAGATCGATGTGCTCGCTGATACCGAAGCCAAAGTTGCCGGTCTCAGAGAAGTTCTTCCTCCGCAGCTCGTATTCCTTGACCTTGAGACCGCGCTCCAGGATTTCCTCCGCCTTGGGGCCCCGGACGGTGACGTGGACGGCGATCTTCTCGTTACGACGGATGCCGAAGGTACGGACGGTGTAGCGGGCCTTGCCTGTTGACATCCATCAGCCTGCAATTCCTCCAGTCGAACACTCCCCCTTTATCCTCCCGGGCTGAAGTCGTCGCAATATTCGGGCATTCTTACTGTAAACCGGAGTCTGGCCGCTCAGCTGCTCGAGCACCTTAGCAGCACGGGTGAGTCGGTCACCAGATTCGCCAACGGAGATGTTGAGCACGAGCTTCTCGATGCGCAGCTCGCGCATGGGGTTCGCGCTCTTGTCCTTTCCTTCCGACTGCATTTGCCGTCAGTAAATTTTAAATTCACTTCCAATCGAGGATTCCTGGCTGGCCACCTACCATGGCGACGGTATGTGCACTGGTCGACTCGCTGGATGGTTCGAAGAATCGAATCGGACGGACTTCGAACTCTCGAAAAGTGTGTGCGGAAAGGTGTGTGGGCGGCCGGTGGAAGCGAAAGCCCTAGCGGCTTGGCGCCGTCGGTTGCGGTTAGCGCCTGCCGCCGACCTGCCCTGGCCTAGCCGCCAGTCAAGTCAGAGTCCGTCCGGGACCAAAACGACTGTGCTGCTCTGCGGCGGGCTTCAGGCAATAAGCCCAATAACGCACTCCATCTCAGGTGGCATTCGTGCCTCCTTTCTGGTGCTGTATTATTTGGGTTCGTCAAGTCGCATTCGTGCGCACCACTGTCAAGATGGCGGCCGCGGCGAACAAGCAGGGTAAAATGGTGAGTTTCCTTCTATCGCGACTGCAGAGCTTTGTTGACGGACCGGCTGACATTGTCTAGCAAAACCTCGTACGTAGCATGAACCTGGATATTTGAAAATGAACCACTGATGTGGTTGCTAACAACTACTCCAGATCAACTACCGGATGAGGGTTACGTTGAATGATGGTCGCCAGATGACGGGCCAGATGCTTGCGTTCGACAAGGTATGAGCTTGTTACTCTCTATGATTTACGCGTTTTTTTTTCACTGATCAACTTCCAGCACATGAACCTCGTTCTTGCGGACACAGAAGAGTTCCGTCGCGTCAAGCGGAAAGCCACCAAACAGCCCCCCGGTACCTCGAATGTCCCCATCGTCGAGACGGAAGAGAAGAGAACGCTTGGTCTTACGATAGTGCGCGGAACCCACGTTGTTTCTTGCTCCGTCGACGGCCCTCCTCCCGCAGATCCGTCTGCACGACTGGGGACGACCGCACCGGGCGCTGGTGCTGCGACGGCCGCGCCCACCCTTGCCGCGGGTCCTGGTATCAGCAAACCAGCTGGACGAGGTCTGCCAGTTGGATTGGGAGGCCCTGCTGCTGGCGTTGGAGGGCCTGCTCCTCCGCCAGGTGGCTTTGGGGGCTACCCTCCTGCTCCTCCGGGAGGATTCCCAGGTGCCCCGCCGCCTGGATTTGCAGGACGCGGAGGACCTCCCGGCGGACCGCGTAAGTTTTCCATTTTCCATACCGTATTGAGTTTATTTCTCTTTTTGCTAACCATCTTCCAGCCGGCTTTGCTCCTCCACCCGGATTCCCGCAGGGCGCGCCAGGTGGACCTCGTAAGTACCAGTTCCTACTCGTGATGCGATTTCGTGCCAGTTTGAGACTAACTTCTTTGCAGCCCAAGGATTCCAACCCCCGCCTGGTTTCCAGCCTCCGGGACAACAAGGACGAGGATACCCTCCGCCTGGATTTGGTGGAAGATGAGATGCTTAAATACGCTGGGGGCGGCATCATCTGTGTGAAAGCCTGCTAAGAATATGGAGGGAAAAAAGTACTTTTTTCATGATTACCATCCTTTTTTTTTCCGAAACAAAACACACGAGAAAAAAACACCGAAAAAAGGCCATAGAACAGGTGGAATCCGTGATCTACCTACCAGGCAAGGCGTTGCGGCGCGTGTGGATGAGGTGTGGCATTCAACAGTCTAGCAACAACTGACTCGTTGTAGTTTATAATGAATCGTCATGCTGAAAGGAAATTAATCAATATCTTCTTTATATTTCTCTTTTACTCTTTTTGTAATTGGCTTGTTCCAGTTATGCATCCTGGATTATCGATTACTCCGTATTATACACACGTGACTCCTGAGGGGCGCATCCGATGCCGGGGGCCGCACCGGGGAAAGGCTCCACCAGGACTTAACTCCGACCGGATGACAAAGTACTTCTGCTGCGACGACTCATATCATCTTGCTGGTATCATTATTATCAATCAGCCTTTTCTCTTTTTCCTTCTTTCTTTCCCTTTTCTATACGCCTCTCCGCTCTTTTTCTTCTTCTTCTTCTTCCACCATGGCGGCCGCTATCAAAGCCATCAATGCGAAGATTCGCTCTAACAAAGTCCTCGACTATGTCTGCTCGACACGTACGTTCGGCACCCCTTCTGATTTCAAGTTTTTCTGTTGTTGCTGGAAAATCTTTGGAATGGGCGTCGCCCAATTGGGTCATTTTCATAACTTGGACGCACCTGTGAAAGAAAGAAAGAAAGAAAGAAAGAGCTAGCTAGCTGACAGATTTTTCGCAATACCATACAGACTTCTGGGGCCCAGCCTCCAACTTCGGTATCCCCTTGGCAGCGGTGATGGACACGCAGAAAGATCCTGAAATGTGCGAAAACACGAACACGAGCCTTTTTTTTGTTTCCGATAGAAAGTTGCTCACTTTTACTTGTTGTTATCGACAGCATCTCCGGAAGAATGACCGCCGCCTTGACCGTCTACTCGGGCACGTTTATGCGCTATGCCCTCGCCGTTACGCCCAAGAACTACCTGCTCTTCCTCTGCCATGCGATCAACTTTAGTGCCCAGCTAACGCAGGGATACCGGTATTTGAATTACTGGAAGTACGTCCCGTCCTTCCCTTCATATTTATCTTCGTGCGCAATGCAAATATTTGTGTATTTGCACTGGTGTCGTGTCATATTTTGTCGAGATCACTGAACTAATTGATTATTTTCTAAACAGCTGGGGAGGTCGAGAAAAGGCTCTTGCTGCAAAGGCCGCACAACAGGGCCAGGAAGCCGGCCAACAAGAAGCCGCGACGCAGTAGACAGACAGACAGATGGGGGGAATCGATCAATCGATCGACATTTTTTCTTCCTTTTCATATGCTTGCTATGTGTTGTTCTGTACTTCATCCTGCTTACTACTCACATTTACGTGGTCTTACGTGGTTAATTATTTACCCTATAAAAAAAGTCATGTCACGTCACGTCGGGTCCTTATTTGTTTATTTATCTTATTGCATCTATTTCTATTTTTTTATTTCTATCTATCTATTCTCCATGCACCACTATGCACCGTGCTCTATGCTCTATGTTCTATCTAGGTGGTTCGTTCGCTTCGAACAAACTGGGAATAATGATTGATGGTTCTAAAAAAAAATAGTCGGACAGATGATAGCATGACAACATGTGTGACTTCTTCTCTACAGAGAGAGAATATTGTGTCATCACATTAATTGCATTTCGTTTAAAGGATGGAAGGAAGGAAAGAAATTTACTAGTCTGGCTTCGGTATGCGGTGTAGATTAGATGCCTACCTAGGTACCTAGTAGTAGAAGGGGATGGGACGAAATGGATTGGATTCATTACATAGACTGGAAGAAAAGGAGGAAAGATAACTACATTCGGCATGGATGCACTGGAGAGAAAAGGAAATAATTACATAAAAAAGACACAGAAAGGGAGAGGAAAGAAGGATAAAGAGAACTAACTGTACTCGATGATCTTGTCTCTGAAATCTGAATCTATGCTGTCTGTAAGTATGTACATACATACGCTGGCATTAACATTCTTCACTCTGACTATATAATTCAGCTCAATCCAACAGAGTCTAATTCAAATCCAATTCAATTTCAATCCAATTCAATTTCACGATCTGACGTCTGTCTATCTATTTGGTCTATCGTCTATCGTCTATACCGCCAGGCGATGGACCAAAAAAGAAATTAAAAAAAAAAAGAAAACGAAAACGATGCTCGCTCGCTTGCTCGCGTGCTTTCTTCATTTTGACTCGACATATCATACCCATTCACTCATTCATGATGATCGTCGATTGTCATAGTCGTTTCATAAGAAACAAAAAGAAACAAAAAAAGGAAAAAAAAATCTCACATGCAGGCCCAGGCTCACAATATGCAATGACCCAAAAAGGAAAAAGAAAAAAGAAACAAGAAAAAAAAAGAAGAGCGAAAAGAAAAGTAAAAAAAAAAAGTAAACTGATTTAACCGCTTGACGTACCCGTAACCGTACCGTAAACGTAAACACTCGACGTAACATGGCTCGTTCGAAAGTTCGAGGTTCGACGCTCGAGGTTCGAACTTCTCTCTCCGGGGGCGACCCTGAAGTGCACACAGTGCACAGCAGGCGTTATATCGACAAAAAGGGCATATTTATATATATGCGGAATCTACCTACCTAGGAATCGCAGTATCCCGGGCTTTCGGGAGCCCCAGCACCGCCTGCCCAGTTGTAGATCGTCAGCGTGGTGGTGTAAATACAGCAGATGACGCCGACTACGGCCAGAGTGATGTCTGCCAGGCGCTGAAAGCGGGTCCGAGCACAGGCCTTGAGATGGAGGAGGGGCTGTATACACACATCAAATCAGTACGATGCTAACTAGCTGGCGACTGGAAAAGAAGAGTTTACGCACCGGATACACATAGACCAGCGGCACACAGGCAAAACTGCCCACCAACGACACAAACCTGTCCAGGTCGTCGGCGCCGCCCCACGCGATAAAGGCGCACAGCATGACCAGCATGAACCGGAAAAAGTTCTTCTTCCACTTGATGCCCGGGTTGGTACTTCCCGCTGCGCGTGAACAGCTCGTTCTCCATGATGCGGATCGCTGGAAACAGCTGCAGCGGCGTGCTGAGCAGGATGGCGAGCGAGTACATCAGCTGAGCCGCGTTCACGAATTTGGAGTCCTGGGGAAGGTTGAGAAGGATGACCGTCTTGGTGGCCGATCCATAGGCTGCGTAGCTGAGAGAACCGGCCGAGAGGAAGACGACGGTGATGCCTGCGATAACACCGGCAAGAACAATGGGAAACTTCTCCGGCTTTTTCATCGACTCCAGGATCGGAATGATCAACCCTATCCCCTCGTACGTGAAGATGGCAGTCCCGATGAACAGAGTCCACGAGTTCGGATTGAAGGCAGCGACATCCGAAATCCCCCTCTGCTCGATGGCGCTGATATCAAAGTAATACAGAAAGATCAAACCCAGCAAGATGAAAACGTCGGCAATCAGAGCCGTAAAACCAAGCTTGCCGATGTCGCGGACCAAGGAGAGCGGGAGGAAAATGACCAGCTGTATCATCACCATGAATTTGATATCGACGAACGTCTTGCATTTGCTGACGGCGTGAACGAAAGCCTGCAGGTTCTCGGCCGTGAACACCGTGTAGGCAGACACAAACCCCAGTTGACTGATGACGATCGATGCCAGAATAATCCGCCGCATGTGTTTCCCATAGAGCACGCCTCCGATGTCACCGAACGAGCCCTCAATCTTCAATCGGGACTTGACCAAGAGAATAAAACAGTAGAAGCTAATCAGCGACACGGCCAGGAGCACCATGCTGCTGAACAGCATGCCCCCGTTGAGAAACGCTCGCGGCAAGAATAGAACGCCGGTGCCCATGAACGACTTGAGCAGAAGGAGGGCCGTGCTGGTCATGTTGTTCGTGCCCCTTGGAGCGCGCTCCTTGGGCTTTCGTTTCTTCAGCCCGGGGGCGCCCGGAGGAAGCAAGGCAGAATCTTCACCGGGTTCCCTCTCCTCGTCGGTGCCCTCCCATGTGTCGGACGTAAAGTACTCGCCTGGACCAAGGACTTCGTCATCCTCTTCCAGCTCTTCGCCGGCAAAGTGCCCGTAGAGCGTTAAAAACTCGAGGAAATTGCTCGTGAGGAATCGTGGTTCCGCCTTTTGTGCTGGCGCCCCCGAATCCCGCAGCCCGCGGGGGGCAGGGCTGCCCATTGTTCTTCGCAAATAGTCTCTTCGGAATCCGCCAGGCACCCTGATCGAGTTGATATTCATCACCTCACTCTCCGGCTCAGGCCGGTTGATGTGGAAACTCTTACTCCGGGTCGGTCGTCTCCGCCCGGACGCTTGTGCCTCTACGTCTTCGGCCCAGCGATAGACCTGCCTGGTCATATCGCCTCCCTGCAATTTGAGACTCGAGAACTCATCGTCTGCCGGCTCCCCGGGAGCTTCTGAGTTCCGGCTTGAACCGACATTTGAAGGCTGAACGAGATGTCTCTTCACAACTTCTGGGTCCTCGTACGGCCCGGGCCCCGGTTCCCAGCCGTCGTTGACCAATTTCGCATCAAATGACCCGTAGTTCGACCTGAGGCCCCTGTCGAGCAGCGGATTCTGCTGCTGATCCGGGGAAGCTGAACGTCTTGGGGTGCCTAGTTGTGGAGAGGACCGACCGGACCAACGACCGGACCTTTCTAGTAGGGCCGCCGCCAGAGAGGGATTTCCAGGCCCCGGAGGAGAAGCCTTGTTTTCAAGGCCCTGGAGATCCTGCTGTTCTGGGGCCTGCTGTGAAGACACTGTAAACCTTCTCGTCGATGGGACTGGAGAGGCTAGTCGTGCAATGGACGCGTCTCGAGGAGAATCTCTCCTGGACGACCCCGAGCGAACTGAACGGGTGGGAGAAGTAGAGATTCGCAGAGGCCGGGGCTGAGGGGCCGACGGGCCCTCGCCATTGTCCGCCATGGTGAGATATGGTGAGTCGATGAATGACTGTTCTCGCAGAATGACCGTCCTAGGAGGCGGTCAGATTCGGGAAACGACGGTGGAAGGCTGCCTGGAGGAACAGAGGGGCATGGACGTCAGCCCTGGAGGTCACTGATAAACACACCACAGGCGGAGAATACCAGCGCTGTCTTCAGTAATAATGGCTCAGGCGCCGGCGTCGATGATAAGCGACGCGCGGTGAAGCAATCATGTGGACGGAGCAGGCATCGCCATTGACTGCTGCAGCTGTTTGCTCTGTTTGCCTGCCGATCGCTGCCGTGAAGTCATCGATCGCGGTGGAGACTGAACAGCGCTCGCCAGGCTATCGCGGTGCAATTGTGCAATTGGCCTGCGTCTGCGCGTCGTCCAGGACGTCTGTTTCCCTGCTGGGATTCTTCTCTGACGCTATCCCGACTGTCCATCCCTCCACCCCGCCGATACCCCTCTCCGAGCTTCCGCATCCCACTCGCCGACGCATCGCTGGATCCCGACCCCGTCTCGAGTATGCACTGATCCCAGCCAAAACATGCCCTGGTCCCAGCTGGAAACTGCGGTTTGAGTGCTGAGCGTTGCGCGGAAAATGGCCGCGGAGGGCATGGAGTCGCCTCCAAAGGCGAGCGCCGCCCGACACCGGCCCATTTTCTCGACTCGCACGGCCGCCGAAGACGTGTCGAGGCTGGCCCCGAGTGACTCGGTCGCCCTGTCGCCCGAGGACAGCAATCGTCGTTTCCATCTGCATGTCTCTGCCGCTGCAAACCCGTACCAGCCTTTGACCTCGGCCTCCCGACCGTCTCCACGGCGCCATGCCCGTACCCGGAATCTGCTCGACAGCCTGGCCCAATGGTGGTATGGCCCGGCTCATCACGACGAGGAGAGAGACCTGCGAGGGAGACCGCTGGAGCGCGATCATACGGAGGATACAGACCCCAAGAAAGAGCGCAATCGGCATAGGCCTCGCACAAATGCAACGGGACCGTCGGAGAAGCTGGGGACATTCTCCGGGGTCTTTGTACCCACGACGCTCAATGTCCTGAGCATCCTGATGTTCCTCCGGTTTGGGTTCATTCTGGGACAGGGTGGCGTGCTGGGCATGATGGGTATGACTTATCTCTCGCGTGTTGGGCGAAGACCTTACTGAGAGCTTATCCTTTCAGGCATGCTGATCGGCGCGTACATCATCAACCTTTTGACAACCATGTCCATCTCTGCCATTGCGACAAACGGGACGGTGCGTGGTGGAGGTGCCTACTATTTGATATCTCGCTCTCTGGGACCCGAGTTTGGCGGCTCCATCGGCGTCGTGTTTTATATGGGATTCGTTTTCAACACGGGCATGAATGCTCTTGGTCTGGTCGACTGCTTCATTGAGAATTTTGGAACCGATTCGGGATCCTGGTTCCAGTTCCTGCCAGAAGGATTTTGGTGGCAGTATGTCTGGGGCACGATTGTTCTGGTCCTGTGCACGGCCATCTGCCTGGCGGGCAGCTCCATCTTCGCCAGGGCCAGCAATGGGCTGCTTGCGATTCTCCTCATGGCCACATTCAGCATTCCCTTCTCTGCCATTTTCATGCAGCCTTTCCGGGACCCCCAGCTGGGTGTAGAATTTACCGGCTTGAAGCTGCGGACGTTCCTTGAAAATCTCAAACCGCGTCTCACCAAGGGCGCTGCGGGGAGCCAAATTCGGGGCAGGGCGAATTTCCAAGACTTGTTTGGGATCCTATTCCCCGCTACGGGAGGCATCTTTGCGTATGATTTCCTTCTGTATTTCTGTATTTCTGAACTGTGACCAGCTAACGTACCACAGCGGCGCGAGCATGTCCGGCGATCTGAAGAATCCCAGCAAATCGATTCCCAAAGGGACGCTGGCCGGATTGGGTCTCACTTTCTTTACATACACCGTCGTCATTCTCTCCATGGCGGCTTCAATCACCAGGCAGTCTTTTTACAACAACGTCAACGTCATCCAGATTGTAAGTCCCGGCCTGCCAGAAGCTTTTCTTTGTATCATATACTAAAAGCTTTTTCTTCGAAGACAAACATCTCAGGAATTGTCGTGCTGCTCGGGGAATTTGCGTCCTGCTTTTTCTCTTCCTTGATGGGAGTGATCGGGTCTGCAAAGCTTCTCCAGGCAATCGCCCGGGACAACCTGATCCCTGGGCTGTCCATCTTCAGCGAGGGTAACAAGAAAACCGGCGAGCCCACCTACGCGATCATTTTCACCTTTGTCGTCACACAGGTGACGATGCTGTTTGACATCAACCGAATCGCTTCCTTCATCACCATGACCTACCTGATGACCTTTCTAGCCACCAATCTCGCCTGTTTCCTGCTGAAGATTGGCTCCGCACCCAATTTCCGACCTTCATTTCACTATTTCAACTGGCAGACGGCTGCGGCTGGTGCGCTCATTAGCGGTGCCAGCATGTTCTTTGTGGATGGAATCTACGCCACGGGCTGTGTTGTTATTCTGGTCGTTTTGTTCTTGCTGATACACTACACGTCGCCGCCCAAGTCGTGGGGGGACGTCAGTCAGAGCCTGATATATCACCAGGTGAGGAAGTACTTGTTACGGCTGCGGCAGGAACATGTCAAGTTTTGGCGACCTCAGATCCTTCTTTTCGTGCACGACCTGGAGACGCAGTACAAGATGATTTATTTCTGCAATTCGCTGAAGAAAGGGGCCTTGTTCGTGTTGGGTCATGTCATCGTGACCGATGATTTCTCCAGCGCGGTCCCAGAGGCGCGCCGTCAGCAGACCGCATGGGCGAAATTTATCGAATACTCCAAGGTCAAGGCATTTACTAATATCTCAGTGGCTCCCACGGCAGAATGGGGGGTTCGCAATACCGTTTTGAACTCAGGTCTAGGCGGGATGAGGCCGAATATTGTGGTGATTGACCAGTTTCGCCGGGAGCAGGGCCTTGTGGAGATCTTTCATCCGCCGTCACGCAGGCGACACTCCAAATCCAGAAGCATCTCGCTCAGTCGAAGAGACTTGGGGGATGATTTCTCGGAAGCAGGGATCCCGAATGGCGCAATGAGTGCGCAGAGCTACTTGACCATCCTCGAGGACCTGTTGTTCAAGCTTCGAATCAACGTGGCTGTTGCTCGAGGGTTTGAAAACTTGGAACTGCCAGACTCGAAAGGACGGAACACGAAGAGATTTATCGACCTGTGGCCCATTCAGATGTCGGCCGAGCTTGCCACAGACAGCGAGAGCAAGCAAAATGTCCTGACGACCAACTTCGACACGTACACCCTGATCTTGCAGCTGGGCTGCATTCTCCACACGGTGCCGTCGTGGAAGAAGACGTACAAGTTGCGAGTGGTCGTCTTTGTAGAGTATGAGACTGATGTGGAGGAGGAGCGCGGACGGGTCGAGACGCTCTTGGAGAAATTGCGCATCGAGGCGGAAGTGCTCGTCTTTGCCCTCGCCAGCAGTGACCTGCAGACATTTAAGGTCATTGTCAATGGCGACACGTCGTCTGTAACTGCAGAGGGCCTGGAGAAGGTCAATTCGGTATTGAAAGAGGAGAGCTGGTGGCAGGACATTCAGACATTCCGGGAGAGCTTTCAAGACCCGCAACGTCAGGGGCAGACGAGCAAGGCTGCAAAGCTCCTGGGGGCGATGCCCTACTGGCCGGCAGCCTCATTCCAGCAAGGCGGACAGAGACCTGCTGGACAGCAACGCTTCGAGGGGCTGAAGAAACTGGTGCAATCCGCCAAGCAGCAGCGCAGACGATCCATCTCCAGCTTCCGGGGCATGAATGTGAATCTGGGCATGCAGACCCATCGGCTGCTGGACTCGTTCGTCGACTACCACTCTGACACTAGCGAGGACTCGTCCAGCACGGAGGACGCCGAGTTTGAGCCGTACGCGAGCGATGCAGAGGGTGACGAGACTGACGACGACGGTGGAAACACGCCCCGAACAGGGACGGTGTCTCCATCCCCGAGCCGGCCTCGATCAAGGCTGAGACGGTCTCAAAGCGCTCATTTGTTGCGGAGTGAACAAGAAGAGACGACTGTCTCCGACATGGCTTCTCAGGAACCAGGTCCTACTGAAAACGTTCCTACCATTACAGCACCAGGAGAGACAGCAGACACACCACCAGTCCCGCCACGGCCCCCAATCCTTCGAACAGCATCCGGCAATCGATTCACGTCGTCTCCCATCCCCAAAGCGCGAGTCAACCCTACCGAAGGGACAGGCCCATCGATCATGTTCTCCGACTCGCCCGTCGCCAGTCATCCTCCACATGCAGACTTCCCCTCGACATCCTCTCCTCAGCGGGAATCCATCTACACGCGGCATACGCCCTCGGCGACAGGCTTCCCCGCGCAAGCCGCCATGCCGCTGTCCTTCAACGACCTCCCCTGCCGGGCGCAGCACCTGATCCTGAACGAGCTGATGATCCGTCAGAGCGGCGAGACGGCCGTCATGTTCACGACGCTCCCGTCGCCGATCGAGGGGACCTGCGCGGACGAGGCGGGCAGCGAGGCGTACGTCAGCGACATGGAGGTGCTCTGTCGGGACCTACCGCCTTGTCTGCTGGTGCATAGTAACAGTATGACTGTGACGATGAATTTGTAATGTAACTAATTCTCTTTCTTCCTGTTCAGCTATCTGTATTGCGTGTCTGGGTGGAAATGGCTACCTGGGAGCTGTTATAAATAACGTATTGTATGGCATGGTATGGGATGGGATGGGATGGGATGATATAGATAGACCCTGTATGTACTGTACACAAAACGAGGTCATTTTCGATTTCATTTTCTCTCTTTCCTCTCTTTTGGTACAGTACTATATAGAAGCCTGATAAGATGCATACATAGATCATATTCATGGCCTGAGCCCTTCTTCCTTTTGCCTTTCACTTAATTGTTGAAATTAAATAAAAACACTATGGCTAGTAGAATAATAATGATGATGATAATAACAACACTGCAATGCAATGTGCACAAAAAAAAATAAAACAGAACCTATATATATACAGCATAAAAACAAACCCCGAAGAAGGTAAATGAGACAACAGCAAAAAAGACAAAAAACAGAAACAAAACGAAACAAAGTATTAAATGACCCAGAAAAAAAGGCCAAAAAAAAGAACACAGAATAATAATAATAAAGTGATTAGTAGGTATTTGACATGGACATGATGATGGATTCGTACATGCCTTGCTTGTGTGACACACTCACTCTCAGGACAGGTCATCATGTGTGATGAGTAATAGTTATTAAACAGTATTGACTTATTTATTTTTTCCTTGCAAATAAGTCCATTCAATTAATCGATGAGACACACCGACTCATCTTCAATTCGAGGCAAGGTCGAATTCGACGTCGAAAACAGGTGCTGTGCTGGACTATCGCGTCCAGCTTCCAGCTCGCTTCCAGAACTTCCATCCATCACGCTTCTGCCCGCCGCCTCCCACGCCAACCAGCCGCTCGATGCCGTCGTTGCCCACGGCGTTCTCGAACTTCTGCTGGTCGATCTCCTCGCCGCCTTCCTCGTCGGTGCCGTTGCGGAGCACGGCCGGCCACAGCACGCCGACGCCGTCCCCGCCCAGCGTCGTCGTGTAGCGCTCGAAGTCTTCCTCGTCGAGCTTCGCTTCGAGCTCGCGGATCGCGTCCTTATCTGCGTCGGGCCGCAGCAGCGTGATCGCGCAGCCGCCGCCCCCTGCGCCGGTCAGTTTGGTCCACCCGATATTCCCGTAGTCGATCAGCTCGCGGATCCGTTCGAGACGCGGGTGGGAAACACCCAGCGACACCAGCAGTCCGTGGTTGATGCGGAATAGCGTCCCGAATTGCTCGAGCGCCGCGTCGCGATTGTTCTCGAATTCTGGCGACGAGATCAGCGTGTGCGCCGACGTAGTCACCTGGTCGATCGTGTCCAGCATCTTGTCTGTCACTTCCGGGTGTGCCTTTCGCAGCGCCCCGACCTTGGCGACCTCCGTGGCTGTCGACCGGGACTGTCGCGTGTTCACCAGCAGTAAAGGCAATTCGGGGAAATTGGGCAGAGACGTGACCGTGGGCGGTTTGGAATAGTCTCCCCGTCGGAACAGGACTGCCTTGCCCCCCGACGACACGGTGTTGTCCACGCCACTGGGGTTTCCGTGGATGCATAGTTCGCCCACAAACGCCCACCGGTTGATCCGTTCAATCTGGACCTCCGCCTCGTCCGGCGGCTGGTCAGGATGCGGCCCCGCCAGCGTGCGGATCTGCAGCAGCAGCGCGGTGCTGAGACAGACGCAGACACTGGCACTGCTGCCCAGACCGGCGCCGATGGGGATGGTCGAGCGGAGGGTGTAGATGGCGGCGTGCGACTCCGGGGAGCCCAGCGAGAGAAAGAGATATAGGAACGCGGTGGCCGAGCTCTGGTGGATCTTGCGTATTTCGTCCGGCTTGTCTTTCGACACGTCCGCGACGTGCTGCTTGACGGCGTCGAGGAGCTCCGGGTCGAGGGAGGTGACGAGGTCGTAGTAGAACTTCTTCTTGGAGGGATGGTGGAACAGGTCCCAGGGCAGCGCGTCAATGTCCCACGTGTGGTCCAGGCCAATGTCGCGGAAATTGAGCGTGACGGTGCGGTGGGATTTGGAGAGCGTGGTGACGAGGAGATAGGAGCGCAGCGAGATGGCCGCGGCCATGGCTGCCTTGCCGTGGACGACGGCGTGCTCGCCGAAAACAATGACCTTGCCGGGCGCCGACACCATGAACGGCGGGGCCATTGGCGACGAGGGCTTTCGCATCATCCTGTCTGACGTTTTCGAGGACGTGGTCGAGGTTGTCTTCGCGTTGGGGCTGGCGGTGGAGGTGGTCAGGATGCCGTCTGAGTTGTCGGCGCTGTCGTCGCTGGTGCTGTTATGGCTGTGTTGACTGTGCGCGTCATTCGCCGCCTTGATGCGCACCTGCAGCTCAGAGGCAGTTTTTTTGTGCTTGTTCTTGGAGGCCCTCACGCTGCCGTGCTTCTTGCGTCCGTGGCCATTCTGCATGTCGCGAGGTCGTACAGGAAGTCAGGGGCAACCGAACAGCGACGACTGGCTATGCAGCCAACACACGCATCGCAGAGCCAGGCAGCGTCAGTCAGCACAGCGTGCAGGCAGTAAAGGGATCAAAGCAGGAAAGAAGAAGAGCAGAGGTGGTTTGTCATGTGGTTAATTAGTTAATTAATTAATTGACTGTTTCCCCGTTGGACTCGTTAGTTCTCAACTGGCGTCGGCGGCGTCTCCGCGAGTAATTGCGGCGGGTCAGCGTCCACCACTCAGCGTCCGCCTTTTACACACAATTACAGCTTCACATTATCCAGATTATTGCAGATGGAGATTCTGACAGCAGTCTGCTGCCAGGCAAGTTGTGCAGTCGAGTGTGGCTGCTCTCTCTGTTTCTCAATGGGACAAATTCTCTCGAGTTCAGTCAGTAATAGTAATTAGGTACAGCGTAGAACAAATCCAGACATTAGACAAATTCACATATCCTGCAGAACAGACAAAAAATACATATCGTAGCATCATACATATCATGTACATACACGTGAATAGAGAGGAGAGAGAGAGAGAAGGAACTACCCCATCGTCGTCTCCCACCCGTTATCAATCATCACATCCATCCAGTACACATTCGGCTCGCCCGCGTCCATCCGATTCCACACCTCCTTGACCAGCTGCAGGCAGACGTGGATCGGTTTGGGTGGCAGGACGTGCAGGAACGAGCCCAGGCGCCCGAGGATGAACTTGCGCGTGCGCGACACTTCAATCGCATGCGACGACAGGTTGAGGCCATAGCTACTGTCTTCGTCGACAGGAGGCAGGCGCAGTTCGCTGGACGACGCGACGAGCAGGAACGGTTGCAGACATCTCGTGCGCGACTCCAACGGAATCGTCTTCAGCCGGGCCATGGCCGTCAACGCGAACCTGGTGAGCCACTCGTTTCGAACCGACTCTGGGAGGTCAGCGGCGTCTTCGTCGCATTCGCTACCGCCGCTGTCGCTGAAGACGCCATCCGTGAGTCCAGCAAGGGGATTGGTCGAAGCGTCACTCGATACACTGAATGGACTTTGATTGTCCAGGCTCAGATTGAACGACTGGTCTCCCCGTTGTAACCGGGACCGCAGCAGATCGGGAAAGACGCGATACAGCTGAATGAGACCCGTATATCGATACACTTCGGCCATCGCCAGCAGGTGCCACACCGGAGTATCGTCGTCCCCCGGATTGACGATCTCCGTCTCGGCTGGATGCGAGAGGTTCAACAGTCTGGCTTCGAGCTCTCGTGCCTTTTGGATCGCCTTCTGTGCCTGGGCGATATCTCCCTGTGACGTGAACCGTCTCGCACGAACCCGGTTCCTCTCGCGACGAATCAGCCGGCCGACTTCATGCACCGTAAACTGCGTGTCCCGCGCGATGCCGGTCCAAGGGTGCGGCACCCGTTGCAACAAAATGCTGTCGGTTGTCGTCTGCAGGCCCGTCTTCGCGGGAGCAAGAGTGTTATGGTCCGCCACATACGACAACAACATCTCCCAGTAGACCAGAGCTTCTTCGAAAAACTGGTAGTTGTTGCGATTGCTCAGCAGAGAACCGTGGTGACTGCCAGAGGCGATGGCATTGATATGCTTCCGGAGGAGGTTGAAGAAGGAAATCCCCAGATCATTCGGGTTGTGCCAACTCGCAGTCTGGCCAAGCATCAGCAGGGCCAAAAGGGACTTATCGTCCATCACCGTTTGTTTCTCCAGCATCGAGATGGCTTCTTGGCGCAGCTTGAGCCCGACAGGCCCGAATTGGGGGAAATCGTCGACTAATGTAGCTGCGGCCATACTCTGCAGAGTCCGGCACATGGCCGGCGAGGAACTCCACAGACGCGACACGGTGGTCCGAAAGGGGTTCATATGGCTATCGTAGCTGGAGAACAGACCAGCAACCTCCTTGAAATAATATTCAACGAGCGTCGAGGACGGATCCTCCAGGGACCGCCGCGGGGGCGGCAGCACGCTGAGTCGATCATTCGACGCGGACCGCTGAGGATGAACAGGGGACTGACGCACGAAAGTCGACGGAGAGAAAGCTCCATACAAGGAAATTTCATTCTCGTTGCTTAGATTGCCTTGCCTAGGAGATTCATCTGCTTGTCCGTCATGGTTCGGCTCGTAGGATGAACTGCCAGCGGCCTGCTCAAAATCAAAGGTGGAGAGCTGAGGAACCGGGGAGGCGAGTTGGTCCAGCTCTTGAAGAGCATCACTAAATTGACTATCCCATAGATCATCGTTCAATCGAGAGTCTAGATCACTGGTTGGAGGGTCCTCAAATGGAGCTACCTGTTGAGCTTGGGAATTGGGATCGTCCTGGATGGTCACTGGCACCTCAGATGGCGAAACGCTGGGTGGTTCTTGCAGGCTGGGACCATTTTGATTCTCAGAACTGTTGGTTGATTGGGTTTCTTTGATGACTCTTTCAAGAACCTCATGCTTGGTGACCCATCGCAGCGGCTGGGTGTAGCCGGGACATTTTACTCCCAGACGAGTGCAACGGCCACAGGCGGGCTTCGCCTCGTCACATTTCAACTGGAGAGTCATCAGTTTCTTTCGCAGCAGAACTAGAAAGATGTGAATAATCCGATGTGATAACTGACCCGTTTACTCTTGCATGTTGCACATCCGTTCCGCGATTTCTTGACTCCGCGCATGACGCATCACCTGCTCGATTCTCCCAGTTGGCAGAGCTCACAGTGTCATCGACCAACGATGATATAATCCAGCTATCCACAGTCAACCGTCATAATTCTAATTTGAGAAGTCCCCGCAAAAGCGAGTTGGGGACGATCGCGCTGTCTGATATGCGGGGAGAGCTGCAATGACTAAGCGAGATAAGCAAGATAAGCCATTGGTTCCTGATAATAGATCCCGCAAGCCAATCAGAAGGCAGAATTCAACTCAATCTATGGACAGAGCGTCTGTAGCTACCATGGTAGCTGCAATCACCACGATCGTCCATCGAAAATGTTGCCTTGCAATCAAGGAGCCATTTTTGGCTTGGTACGACACAGAGACAATGCAGGATGAGTCATGTGGAACGTACAGTATATGTACTCGACGAGTTGAGTGAACCTATGCATGCATCCAACCTCAAAGTCGTCTCTCGTCCAGAAATTAAATGAAAGCCTTTGCACTGTTAAACGAATATCAACATCCTCCTGTATGGCTATTCCATCCTCCTCGTCGTCAGACCACTCCAACACGCCATTACTCCTCCAAATTCCTCGGAAATGGACCTCGAAACAGCTCAAGGCGCTCAAAGTAACTGAGCAACGCGACCTGCCTGCGGAGGCCATTGTTGAAGCTTCATATGTGCCTAGTGATGGGGATGAAGGTACGTTTATCCAGTAATCAGCATTTCTCTCCTCACTGACCCGGATACGTGTGTACTGTACATAGCATTCGAAGGTCTCGCCGCAGAGCTTTGCGACCCAACAAGACAGGATCTATGGGACATGCCGTTTGGAAAGAAGAACTACTTCAGCAATCCATTTTTCTTTACCTTCAAATCTCTAAGCCAGGTGTCGAGGTCCACTGAAAATGAAGATGTGTATTCCACAGCCAAATCGGCCCTGATGTGCTGCCTGTCAACCATAGGAGGCCGTCTCCGTTCGTCACTGTACCAGTAAGTGTGACTTTACCTGTCACCCATTTCACTGATTTGAGCACTGATGATGGAGGGAAAAATAAAGCAGGACGTATTCTTCCAAAATCCCATTTACGGTCCACCCTGCCGGGATAAAGGGCGCTCTCAGGTGCAGCGGGGCTCTTTTCGACAGGGCTCCCAAGTGGGCTGGTGACGAAATCCCTCTTCTTCCGCTTGCGACAATCACGGTTTGTTTTCTCTTTCACCTCGAATTGTCATTACTGCTAACGGATATATGCCAAGGTCGTGAATAACCGCGACAAGACGAGCGTTGCCGTCCACGAAGTCCCCCAGATTGTCGTCCAGGCAATCCTAGCCTATAACCGTGACCCCACACGAGAGAGTTATCCAGCGTTCGTGCTGCGCGTGGATCGTACCATCTTGCAGGTCAGCATGTCGGCCCTATCTCGTACCTACGTGGAGGAACTCTGTCGTGGAAAGCCATTGAGCGGAAGCCTTCGACTGTGCCGTTCAGTGCGCTACGATATGCTAGAACGCGATGAGCGAAGGGAAGCTCTGAGACTTCTCGTCGGACTCGTTAGATTTCTCGACACCAGCAACATTATTGATGGTAAAAGATAAGTTCAAGTCCTTGGTACAATATTGTACATGTATGTATAGATACGTATTTAGCTTGCCATAAAAACATAAAAATAACTATACTGTATTTATTATCGAGGTATACAGCAACTAACTACCACTCAAAATACCATGAAAAAATATATTTCCATACTCATCTCGAGTTAACATGTGGTATTTCGTTACATTGATTGACAGCAGCTACTTTTAGGTAGGAAAGTGGAGTACGAAGTATTAATTCCTTCCCACCCATTCAGTCAATCCATTCGCCCAGCCCAGCCTCCTCATCATACCTTGGGTTACATAGGGTAAGTAAAAATACGAGGTAGCTAGCTAGCTATGTACCCAGCATGCCAAGGAGGTTCAAATCCAGACGATATACGGAGTGAGTTAAGGTAGGTAGGTAGGCCACCCCACATTCCAGAAGCATCTCCTCCTCCAATCCAATCTCTGGACCCCTTTCCTTCATTCATTCATATCCATCCATTGCAGAGTCCAAGCAGGCATGTCATGCCATCTAGGTGGTTCCGTTTTTCCCTGAAGAGGTGATGTGTCGCGTGTCCAGCATCATATCCCCTAGAAGTACTATAGTACCAATAACACACGGGTTAAATGCGTCATTCCTATAATTATTATTGCTTACGGGAAACTTATTTTAAGTACTCTTGGTCATATACTAATTCTTCGTTCTAAGATGGTTTGTTTTACTCTTCCTCGCCAAGACACGGTTGAACCGGGAGTGGATGGATACGGAGTACTCTGTATTATTTATATTTTTGGCCCCTGCCTAGATACCTAGGTACCTGTACCTACTCCGTACTCCGTAAGACAGGTAAGGAGGATTTCTTCAGACAAGACAAAAACGATCTGCACACCTCTCGCACTGTATGTAACTAGAGAAAAGAACCTCCCCCAGTCCCATGGCCCGGCGCCCACGGATTGTTTTTCTTGGCCGCGTCGGGACTAGCGGGACCTGATATTCTTGCAGAGCCTCCAGTTTTTAAATTTTTAAACATTTTTAAACTCTCCCGGTGGCTGGTCCCACTGGACTATCCTGCTTCCGGAAATATATCACGTTCTCCAGGGCTAGGGATACCTAGAGTGGTAGGTGTTTGTCGATGACTCGGTATTTCCCGTCCTCCTCACGGCATTTTTCTCCACATCTACTACTCTGTAGGTGCTAGGAAAGACGAAAGTCTCCGTTGGTATGTAGCTGTGGCATGCCCGGGTGCCACTCTGTTCTATAGTTAGCTTGCCACAGGCCGTGCAGGGCAGAATGTGTCAGTCATTCCCAGCATTGGCTTCTCGTGTGGCGGGAATCCAGCATATCCTCTCTGTATTATTGATAGTCCATTGGTTTCCTTCTTGCGGATAAGCTTGATTATCGCTTCAAGTGGCGGGGTCAATGTGTCATGCGTTATATAATAGATTGTATTGTAGGATAGTTGTAAAATTGAAGGCCGCCTTCCTGCAGAATCCATGTCCCTCCCTACCTTCGCTGAATAGTCGTTGATAGAGACAATGTGTCATCTCGGCCAGCCAATATGATTGTCGCTCGCTCCTACCTTCTGAGGCCTTTCCTCCTTTCGCTGGTGGTCGTCGCGACCCTGTCCGCTAAAGTCGTCCATCTGTTCTTGCATGTTCACTCGGTTCCGCTCGCTTCCTTTCTGCTCTATTTTCCAACGTTCTTCATCCAGGACTGCCTTCTCTTTCTCGGTACTTGGTTCTTATTGCACAAAACATCTGGTGTTGCAGGCACCCTAGGGTTGCTAATCGCCGGCTTTCTTGGGTGAGTTCACCTTAACCATACTAATCCGGGGACAATGTTAACAAGTTGATGCTCATCGCTGTAGGATCGTGACTCTCGTTGCGGCCTCCGCCCAAATCGGTTTCTTCTATGTCACCGGCTCCGAAATACAATGGGGTACAGCAACGAGCGTGGCCAACGATCCCGCAGGGATGAAATTGCTGTTGAGCGGCCTGTGGCCCGTTCTAGCAGCCGGAGTTGTCATCGTCCTTCTTGCCTGGTTCTCGACGCCTTTTATTTCAACATGGATAGGTCGTCGGCTCTCAGCCATCGCGAATATCTCCATTCCCGACGAATCTGGAGAATATCTTCCCGTGGCCCAATCAAAACAACCCAGCCACGAAGGACGAACAGCACGCTTTTGGGCTGTGGGTATCGCGCTGACAGTAATCTGTTTAAGGCTTGTCAGGCCGCCAGTGCCGTACAATCATATGTCTGGCACCATTCCCTTTACTCTTCTTAATGCTTTCCGTTCAAAACCCGAAGTGTGCCCTCAAGCCGAGGCACAACCGTTTCCTCTGCCTGAATTGATCGAGAAGAAGTTCTGGGAACTCCCTCGAGGCCACTTCAAGGGCTGGACCCCAGGCATGGAGGATATTGCTGATGAAGAAGATTTCAACGGGCGACCTCAATGGCTGCCAGAGGAACTGCCTCCTGGATTTGGGCGATGGGCCTTGGAAAAACCTGCAAATCAATCAGTCAGTGGAGAGAGAGGCAGCAAAGCTTGTCCCAGTGCGGAAGCAATCAAAAACACATATAACCCTGCGAAAGATCCACTGCGTATAACAAATCTCGACCTCGACCTCCTGGAGCCATTACAGGAGGCCTTAAGGGACCACGATATCCCAATAACCCACATCTTCTTGATAGAGATGGAGAGCGCGCGCAAAGATGTCTTTCCCCTGAAATATGGCTCTCATCTCCACAAAATGATCCTCCAATCACACGAGACAGAAGATACGGAAGTCATCGACAATATTAATTCCAAACTCTCTGCCGTGTCGCCAATTGCTGAGCAACTTACTGGTGAATCTGGCGGATTTCCTCAAGAGAATCTTTCAGCAGATTTGTGGCAAGATAGCGCCGCTCCTGGAATGGGCGGTATCAACGTGTTAGGTGCAGTAACGGCCAGCAGCCTTTCCTTCAAGAGTGTGCTTGGGAGTCACTGCGGGGTGGGCCCGCTGTCACTGGATTTCATGTACGAGAATGAAGCCGAGATCTATCAGCCGTGCATCATGCACATCCTAGAACTCTTTAATCGGCTCAAAGAAGGATCCGGCAAGGAATCGAGCGACATGCGTCAGCGCAGATGGAAATCCGTGTTCGCCCAGTCGATCACCGGCGTGTACGATGACCAGAATAAGCTGAATCGGAAAATGGGGTTTGACAAGTCCATCGTGAAGGAGGACATCGATTTTCCAAAGGCAAAACACTTCCACCAGGGAATGGAGGAAATCAATTACTTTGGGTGAGTAAATCGTTGAGTCGCTGGCCGCCTCGCCTCGTCTAACTGAAGCTGTAGTTACCCCGAAGAGGAAGTGCTCCCGTATTTGCAAGATACGGTCAACGAGGCCTTGGAGAAGGGAGAACGACTCTTTTTCTCTCATTTCACCAGCACCACTCATCATCCGTGGGCGGTGCCCTCTGACTTCGAGACTGAGCAGTATTGGGCGGATGATGGCCTCGTCTCCAAACACGAGGAGGCCAACAGATACCTCAATACTGTCCGCTACGTCGACCAATGGCTGGGAAAAATCCTCAAGGTGATAGACGAGGCAGGGATTGCAAACGAGACCTTGGTTGTATTCGTGGGCGATCAGTAAGTCATATTCCTATGGCATTGATTCTTGCCAGTGGCTCATCCTTCGTAGTGGTCAAGCATTCCGTGAAGATGCGCGATACAGTGGCACCTATCAGAATGGGCATATCAGCAACTTTCGAATTCCATTGATTTTCCGCCATCCTCTCCTGCCACGCATCCAACTGTCGGCCAATGCAACCTCGCTTTCTATTCTTCCCACCATCCTGGATCTTCTGATCAACACCGATTCTCTGAATGCCCAGGACAAGGAGGCAGCATCTGATCTGATCAATGAGTATGAGGGTCAGTCATTGATCCGGCCGTACAAAGCAAGCCACAATGGCCGACAAGCCTGGAACATTGGGGTCATTAATGCTGGCGGCTCTATGCTGAGCGTCGCGTCAGCGGCAGTCCCATACCGTCTCATTCTGCCACTTAGGGATGAATTTACCTATGTCTTCTCAGATCTGAAGGAAGATCCCGATGAGATCGATCTCATCGAAGAGTGGGATATGGATTCTTTGGTCCGCAGCGTGCGTCGAGCCCATGGAGCCGAAGCAGCGAGCTGGGTTGTCGACGCGGAAAAGGTGGGGCGATGGTGGGTAGAAGAGAAGAAACGCCTTTGGAACTATAGAGAGTGAGCTTGTACAGTATAGTATCATGATAACAATTGCCATATAGACAGTAATGTTATGTAATGTCGATGAAGGTACATGATGTATCAGTCAGATTCTCCTGGCACTACAACGTTGGTATGTAGACCGAAGTGCGCTGGTACTGTGGACCTATGATCCTGTCATTGATACAGGAGCAATGGAAGGCTGTCGCTTTGCAAACCTTGAGGGGTGTTGGCTGTTATGTGTCTTTCATGCAGCTTCAAAGTAAAGTGTGATGCCTCAGGTTACTAATCCGCCTGCCCCGCCGGACTTGCTTCTTTGTCGGACTAAAAGCATCGCCAAGATACCTTCAACTGTATCTAAGAGCTTCTCTCCTCAGACTGTGATTCACAATCGAAGAGTTACCTCTGCACAGTATTTTTCTGACTGCTAGTATTTGTCTTGGAAGGTTTTGGAAATAGCTATTTCCTCCACTTCAAGGTTGAGTTGCACTCATCTCTCTTCGCAGCCTGTGCAACTTCAGCAAACTTGCACGTCAGGCATAACGCCATCAAGAGCTTTCTGGGAGTGTCGTTTACCTTTTCTTCTTCTTTTTTTGTTCCGTCTGAGAAGAGAGCTGCTTTGTCATGCTCTTCACGCTCTGAATTTATCGAGACATGAAACATTAAAATTATCAGCTGCTGCACTCAAAAGCCTGCATTGTGTACATTTCTGTCTTCTTGTCGGGGCCATCAACCAAGCCTCAAAGTCCACTTTTGAAGGTGAAAAATATAGCCTCCCTCAATTCTCATTCGTTGACTGATATAACGTCACCATGAGTGGGAAATATTCGTCTGACCCCTTATGGGCGGACGTGAAGCCCATCCCCCTGGACGATGGCTCCAAGGAGGGTCAGGAAGCCACTCCCCTCGCAACAATTGCGTATTCGCCTGCGTACGTCGAGGCGACGTCGTATCTGCGAGCTGTCATGGCGGCCAATGAGGTGTCTGAGAGAGCGTTGAAGTTGACGCAAGATGTGATCTCGATGAATCCTGCTCATTACACTGTGTGGTAGGTATCTCTCCTTGCATTGATCTCCCTGATTTTTCATTTCTATCTAATGGCGTATATGCCTTCCCATTTTATATGTGCTTATACGTCGAGCCTCTTTTTTGGGAGCTAGTTTTGTTTTTCGTTCCCGCTTTCGTTTGGCCTTTTGTTTATGCGGAGTGTTTGCGTTCTTTCTAGCTTATATGTGCAGTATACTGATTTAGCTCGATGCAGGCTATACCGAGCAAAGATCCTTTTTGCACTCAATAAGAACCTTGATGACGAGCTCACTTGGTTGAATAAAGTGTCGTTGCAGTATCTCAAAAATTACCAGATATGGTGAGTATTCATGACCATAAATTACTTCGAAACTCTCAAATCTTATTGGATTGTTGGATTAACTATCTACAGGCATCACCGTCAAGTCATCATGTCATCGCGCACCGCCTTCCCGACTCTCCCGCCCAAAGAGCTCGATTTTCTCATGGAGATGTTTGCCCAGGACGCCAAGAACTACCACGTCTGGACATATCGGCACTGGCTCGTGCGGCATTTCAATCTCTGGGACTCCGAGCGTGAAATCCGAGATGTTGAGACTCTCATAAACGCTGATGTCCGGAATAACTCTGCGTGGAACCACCGATATCTACTGCGATTCGCTCCCCGGGAGGGTCCCGAAGCTGGGATGCCAGGAGGCGTGATTTCAGATCAAAAGGGTCGCTCGGATGTTGTTGACGAGGAGCTCGTTGACGCAGAACTCGACTACGCTAAGGAGAAGATCCTCCTGGCGCCGGAGAATCGCAGTCCATGGTTGTACGCACGCGGGGTTTTGCGAGCTGCTGGCCGACCACTCTCTGAATGGAAGGACTTTGCCAGTCAGTTCGTCACGGAGGAGAAGACGGAGGACGGACAAGTTGTCAACGTGCATGTCAAGAGCAGCTTGGCTGTGGAGTGGTTAGCGGACGTTTTGGGCGAGGAGGCTCAGACAGAGCAGGAGAGCGGAAAGATAGCCGAGGCGGTCAAGATGCTTACCTTGCTCAAGGAGAAATATGATCCTATCCGGAGGAACTATTGGGATTATAGAATTCGCCAGCTGAAGGATTCGACCTCCGAACCAGTCACTGCGTCTGCATGATATCATCTTGCATTGACGGCGTAAGGTGAGACAAGATAAATATCCCAGGCCTTTTCGAAAGTAAAAACATATCTGACCGGCTGAATAATCCAGATTGGAAGTCAATTGGGTTACTTCTTGCTTCTACGAGGTTTCAAATCGATGTCTCTTGATTTATGACAAGTTGATGCTTGGAAACGTCACGAGTTCATTATACCTGCGCTGTACCGGTGGAGTAAAAAGAAAAAAAAGCAAAGCTTCATACTTTGTCCCAGCAATAACATAACGATGATTAACAGATATAATAAGGTAAACAGGAATCAAAAC